TAATAATATATATATATATATATATATATATATATATATATATATATATGTATATTTTTAAGTAACTTTCTTTTATAATTTTTTCTAGCTGAACCGATATGAAAGATATGTGATATATGTTCTGATTATTCTAATATTTTGTTAAATATATCTATTTATTACAATATTTATTACAATTTTTTTTAATATAACTAACAAAATTTAACAAATTCAACAAATTTAATAAAAATTTAACAATTTAATTTAATGATCTTTCCATTAAATTAAAATCCCAAAAAAAGGAACTTAAATTTCATACACGTCAATATAATATACACATATCTTTTTTTCTACCTTATATCTTTTCTTCTTTCGTCGAAAAGAAACTATTCTTGCATCAGTCACATGAATTAATAATTATTAAACACACGTTCACCGATATTTCATGAACAATAAATCCGCGTGAAAACTTAAACTGGAAATATCGTTCAAACGACATCAATTTTATATTATATCAAATTTTTAGCCAATTATACCGACGAGCATAATTAAATCACACACGTGCCCCTTTCTCAAACCGTGATTCTCGATTTCGTCTCTCACTCGTTAAACATTCGCCGGTTATTTTTACGCTCGGCCAATATTTTCGTCCCGTTATCGTGTTTGATTTTTCTTTAATCACCCTGTTTACCCTCGTCACTTAATCGCTTTATTATTTATCAAAAAATCGACGGAAACCGCAAGCGCAACAACACGAGACGAAATCTTCCGCTCTTCCGCTATTAACGGATCGCGATTATTTCAGTTTAATTAATCCGAACCTGTTTAATAATTAAGCTTGATTGCGCAACCAAATTACTTAACCGCGTGCAATATTTGTTTCTTCGCGATTTCTTATGCGCGACAGAAATGCGGAAATCTTATCTGTGGGCCGATGTGTTGCTCTCATTACAATTAAACTGTGAAACATTATCGCGACATAATCGTGACAATATCGTGACAAACGTTCAATTACATTTTTTTCGCTGATCGATTAGATGGTAAGATAAAGATAAGGATAAGATCGAAATAGAAGACGGAATAGAGGGGTTTATCCTTTTCGAGAAAATAGTTTCTTCACGATTCGCCTCTCGTACGGGACACGTATGTGTATTCCTGGACTCGGACTCTTGATCGCCCAGACTCACCTTTCAGATTTTTTAACGTGGAAGACGTGATCGAGGAAAAAGAATTTGCCACGGGAGGAAAAGAAATCTAATTATTACTTTGATATGGATCAAACGAATGGGTTATGTGTTGTATGTATAATTCTCTAATTCCTCAGAGGAACGATGAGGTGCACTCCGCGAATTCGCGCATAAAACTGATGTCTCAAGTTCGACAAAGACGCAGAAATCTTATCTAGCCGATAACAAAGAGACACAATGTCAACAGGTACACACACAGCTATGAATCTTATCTAATGAATTCTATTCTCTTTTCATTAATAAGGTCGGCCCGTTTTCTTCTTCTTTTTGCGGGAGGAAAGGGAATTAATATTTCCTAGTTGCAGTTTTGTAATTAGAATTTTTAGGATCTTCTTTCTAAAGTTATAGCAACATTTTCTAATATTTCTTTGCGTCAATTTTTGAACCTGTCGCGAACATGAAAAATTGTATCTTTCCATTTATTGTACTTTTTGAAATATTAATGAAAATTTTTATCTACTTTCATTTCTTGATATGTTGCGATCGTAAAGGAAAGAAGGAAAGAAAGTTATTTCTGATAGATTAGTACGATTAGTGTTTTCGTATTTTCCTGGAATTGCTATGAAAAAGTCAAAATTTTTTAATCTGAAATTCTATTAAAAGAACAAACTTTTTAGATATTTTCACGTATTTAATACATTCTTGTTTTCCCGCAGTTTCCGCAAAAAAATTAACCTCGAAACGATGACCTCGTACAATTTCGTTTCATTAATTTTAAATATTCCTTGAATATTTAATTCTTCACGGTAATATGAATTCATTAATGAACAGAAAAAGTTAATTACTTATTACAAAGATATATCTTCAATATATTGTTTCTTGATTATCATTGTTTCTTATGCAATTTTTCACGACCTCATTCCGAAGACAGGAACCAATTTTTTTATACATCTATTATCATCGAAACTATAGCCTCGTATCGTATAGTCCCGAATGCATTTATCATCTTTCATCCACGTTCAACACTCCTCTTTTCCCCTTTGTTCCTCTTTTTTTTTTCAATTAAAATTGCTCTTGTAGCAACTCTCAATGTAGCAATGTATTCACTTCGAACAAAAAACTATCATCGCTCGTAAGAACTTACGATTTTCAGTCATTTCATGTCATAAATTATCAAAGCTTGTAAAATCAACGAAAAAATTTACGATAACTTGTCCACGATGAATCATCGACTAGGTAAATCAATTGCTCTATTTCGAGTTCGATATAAAACAATAAACATTATGCGAAAACGATATCACTCGGTATATCGTGCAACTCAACATGATTACATGTACGAATTTCGCGCCTTATGTGAACAAGGAAAACGTGGTTCGAATCTTCGATCTAATCTCTGTTAAAATCGATGGTAAAAAAGAGTTGCACAATCGACGAACGCATAAACAGAGAGAACATAAACACATAAGAAAATAGAAAGGATTTAATCTTTTTTAAACTTTCGAAACTCACGATACTTAGTTTCACGATACTTAGATAGTTTTCTCTCTTTTTTCCTTTTTTCTTTTTTTTTTATAACGAGTCCTTATTTTATCAAGAACTAAGGTGATCAATAAATTTTAATTTTTAAAATTCTTCAAATTCAGATTTGAATTCAGAGCAGAGACAGTAGCCGTTTTTTCACTTGCGAAATTAAATTTTTTTTTTTAATACATTTCTAGAAGAAAGTGATTAAGATATACTCACTCAAAACATTTGATCCCCCTCTTGGCACAACTTCTTCCAAACTCGTTCAATTCACAAACTCGTATAGAAGTCAAGTTTCATAAAGACTTTCGAGATTCATTGTCCGTTATTACAACCACATGGATCGATTATTCACGATAATTAGATTTCCTCTTCTTCTCCAGGAATAAAATTCACTTACGATCATGCGCCTTCATTTTTCACGTGAATCTATTTTTGCTAAGATATAAAGATTTCACGAGGAAAATTCTCGAAATCGAGGAAAAAACTGTGTATTGTCATTGAATTTGAAGATTTTTAACGAGATATTCGTACGTTTGAATTTCTTTCGGCATGGTGACTTAAAGAGATTCGGGTGACAAGATCGTGTTAAAGATCGAGAGAGCGATCGAGGAAGAGGAGTCGAGCGAATTCGCTTTGGACTTTCGCTCGCGGACTCACGTTGTTATCGACAGACTACTGGCCTCAATGCCACCAGCTGAAAAACACGCGCTCGTTTTCAATCGTTGGCTAACAGTGGGGGGCATGGTATATAATTATTATCGTTTGGCACCTTATCCATGATATACGCCGCCAGTATCGATGATTATGTATTCGATTACACGTGGAATAGATCGATATGAAAATTCTTTTGGAAGGTACATTTCCATTAGATTCGTTCGATCTGATTACAAGATAGATGTTTGATAGAGGAATGGTATGTAGCTTGAGTTTTTTTTGATTGGTTGGCTTTGGCTTTGATAGGTTCTTTTTTTTGATCTTTGACAAATCCGTTTATTACGTACGTATGACGAACTTTTTTTGGCGATAGGAATATTTAAAGAATGGGGATTACTTTAAAAGCAAGTTAAGAGTATAATAATCAGAGTAAGTGATCAAAATTCTTTTGTCTCATTTGTTTGAAAAAGAATGGGTCATCGCTCGCATAAAAGAAGTGTGCAAAATATTGTGAATTATTTGTTTAATAATTACGAAAAAATTGGATCAGTTTAAATATGAAATAAAAGTTTGTAAGCCGGGATTCTGGAAACGCTTGTCATTAAATTTTTCTTCTTTCTAATTTATAAAGTGAATGATTTTTTTATTTAAAAAAGAATAGACTTGGATTATAGTCTGATTTTTAAGTACAAAATTCGTATAATTTTCTTGTCACATGGATTAAAAGAGAAAAGTTCTCAATTCGTATTATCTATAAGAGGTTTTAATATTCAACGTAATTTCATAGTCTATGCAACGTGATCATCGTATAAACGAAGTGTGTCAGATCGATCAACGATCATTTTAATGCATCTTTAATGTATTTACAAAAATACATTTCAGGAATTCCTATTTCCTAATTTATCGTCCATATCAAAAATAAATACTATGTGATCATCGAGCACATTAGATACACTCTTGTGTTGCAGCTTTTTAATCGAATCCATCTTATTATCTTTTTTTCTTTTATTCATCTGTCTTCTCTCAACAATCGTTCGTTTCATTCTCTTCGTTGGATTTTAACATATTCGCGAAGAAACCATCTTGTCGTCGTGTCAGATCTATCGGTGATCCATCTTCGACGATCTTTCCATCGTGGAGCACGATTACTCGATCGCAATCGAGTAACGCGGACACACGATGCTGAAAAGTAAATAGATAAAGATGATTAATGAAAAATGATGTCATTATACCCGCATCTTTCTTTCACGGAGATAAGGAATTTTTGAGTGTCGAATTTACCGCGATAACGATCACTGTTTTGTTCTCGAAATCGGTTGAAATTGCTTTCAAGAGGCTCTTTTCCGTGGAGGCGTCGAGCGCACTGGTTGCTTCATCGAGGACGACGATCGAGGACTTCCGGAGTATCGCTCGCGCCATACAGAGCAGCTGCAATTGACCGGAAGAGAAATTCTCGCCTCCTTCTTTTACCTCGAAATCTGTTTTTTTTTTTTTTAAAAAAAGGTACAAATTCTATTAAGAAATTATATATAGGATTTTTATTTTATTAAAAAAATTTGGAACAAAATGTAACAAGTTTGATGGATTAATAAAAATCATCCATTAAATTTTGTCTTATTATCAATATTTATCTGTTAAACAAATAAAAGAATTTGATATAAACAACAAAATGCATAATAAAAATATTAGAATTTGAATTGTTATGAATAATCGTATAATTTTTTCATACGAGTATAAACTTAAAAAGATGTTTCTAGAAATAATGAAATTAATTAATCGAATTGAAAGAATTCAATTAGAATTGAATTTATTATTACTTACTAAGACCTTCAGGATGTGAAGCTACAACATCTTTGATCTGTGCTACTTCCAACACGTTCCATAGTTCTCGATCTTCGTATTCCGATAGAGGATCCAAATTTTCTCTGGAAATCATTGGAATTTTATCATTGTTTTCAATCGATTTTTTTTCATAAACAATGATTACCTAATGGTTCCACTAAACATGATTACATCCTGAGGAATTACTGAAAGTCTCGAGCGAAGGATTTTCAAAGGAATTCGTCGGACGTCTATTCCATCGATTAATAAACGACCTTGAGTGATATCTAGCAATCGAAACAGCGCCATCACTGTGGAGGATTTTCCGCTTCCGGTTCTCCCGCAAATTCCAATCTGTATGTATACATATACACGTATCAAAATAGAATAGAATTTTCTTATTTTTTTTTTTTTTTTTTTTATTGAATTCTTACTTTTTGACCGGCTGGAATCTTGAGAGAAAAATTCGAGATCACCGATTGATTTTGAGAAGCGTATCTCAGAGAAACATTTTCAAAAATAATTTCACCTTTGTTCGGCCAATTTTTAGATATATGAAAGCCTGGAAAATATTATATAAATCAAATAATTTATCATTTTTATCTTGTTTTTCAACTTAAAATTTATATTTCAGAGACAAGGTAGTACCATCTTGATAATTTTCCACAGGGGCATATCTGTAAGTGGAGATCCGAGCAACGCTACCAAAATATATCTCTGTCTCCGCGATAAATTTCACCACCCAATTTAAATAAATTGGCACCAGTAGGGTGTAATTAATCGCCAGTCCGACCAGAGCAGGAGTGATATGTGGATATAATTTAGCGGAAATTAACATTATAAATATCGCAGAGCTCACTATTATAGCACCTAGATAATCCTGGAAAGTGTTCATGGTGAAGATAGATCGGGCAGAATGGAAAACTTTTTGTAAAAAGTTTTAAAAATTCTCTTACCAGAACGATACCTAACCATCGACTGCTGGAATTTAGAAGGAGAAAAGCGTTTGTATTGATATCTAGACATTTTATAGCCTCCTCCATGAAGCGATTTTCTTGCTTCGAAGCTCTTATCGTTGCTAATCCGTAAAGTGTTTCGGAAAAGTGAGTAGTGATCGGCCATCTGGTACTGGAAATGAGTAATTGATGTTTTAAATCGGGAGAATTTAAATTAATTAAAAATAATTATTGAAACATTGGAAAGATTCGTAACAAATCTCATAGAAAATTTGATAAAAAATGTTTTAAAAAATTTGAAGAAATAATTGATTAAAAGATTGATCAAAGACAATCATACCTGCCGTCTAATCTTTGTAAATGTTTGGCACTACGTCTGTAAAATTTTTGAACCAGATAGTAAACTGTGCACACGGGTACAGCGAAAATAAGGAACCATGGTGAGATAATAACATTTACAATCATCGCTGAACCGCAGAGAAGAACGAAGAACATCAGTCGTTGGATCGACATGGATATTTTCTTTAATAAAAAATCGAAAGGTAAATTTATTGTCTTGTAGATCATTGATTATTTGATTTTTTTATTGAATATCAACCTTATCAATGACGCCTATATCGGTGCTAAATCTGTTTAAAATTTTTCCTACGGGATTGGAATCGAAAAATGACATTGGCACTCTTAGAAGTCTGGATACGGTTTCCTCGTGCAACTTTCTTCTTGCTCTTGCACCTGTCCATTGACCAGTTGCATTGCATATGATAGAAAATAATATAAAAATAATGGAAAGAATAATGTAAACTTTAAAATAGAAGACTGCCTGAAATAAATATGAAAGTTATTTTATCTATTGCAATTTTTATTAATTCTAAATCATTAAAATGTATATAATTACATCATGATTTTCTTGAGTGAAATCTTCGTCTGTCCATTGGCTTAACCAGAAGTCGATGAAAACACGAAGAATCTGACAGAAAATCGCTATTGTTATGTAAATTAGACTTGGTATCCAACTTCCAGCCTTTATATAATCATAAAAGATTGTTCTAGTGATTGTTCTGCTATCTTTCTGGCACTGAAACTGTTCTTCTAATTGCTTTGTATCATAGTCTTCTAAAACAAAAAAAAAAAAAAAAAAAAAAAAAGATAAAAAGGAATGAATTGTTGTGTTTTATTTTTTTCAACATTTCTTTTATACTTTTAAAATTATACTAACTTTCTTCAATGTCAATAGATTCTTTAGTTCCTTTTGATTCTATTGATAACAATCGTTTCACAGGAAAATGTTCATTTTCTTGATCATGACAAGTTCTAAGTGAAAAAATAAATGAATGGAGATATATTTATACATTTTATAATAAAAAAACAAATTTTTCATACTTTTTGACATTATATTGCATTTGTCTGTTAGAATTAGATGGTATCAATTTTCGTAGAACGCTTTTGTCTCTGTTCAATGTTATTTCATTAGGATGTGGACTAATTATTCTATAAATTAAATACATATCAATAAAAGAATCATTTTTTTTTCAAATTAATTAAGATTTGTATCTAACTTACCCACTAGAAAATATTTGCCTGAAAACATTGTTACGTTGTCCATTGTCAAAGGTATTATTTCTTTTCCTGAGAAAGAATTTATTTTCAAAAATTGATTAAAAACAAAATTAATAAAATTCTTTTTACATACCTGGGTACAATATATTGACTCTCAAGAATTGTCGGAGTGCTGTTTTGTCGTAGAACAGGAGGTGGCTGTCTTTCAGGTTGGAGACTGGTCGATCTAACAGCATGTCGGTGTGATTTGAATCGCTTTTTCTCGACACTCCATTCTTCTGTAGATACTGGAAGATCTGTCAAATCATGAGCCAAGTATCTCGATCCGGAAAGAGTAGTTCTTCGCATTCTTAGTGGTACGAATCCTGAGTTCTAACAAATCCAAAAAATTGAAAATAAATTGGAAAAATAAAATTACAAATAATTTTAATTAATAAGATTATTAATCGTATGTACCACGTGAGCATCTTGATCAGTGATCCATGATTTATTCCCAGATTTATTCTTCGCATTGTTACCGATTCTGGATATCAATTTAATTAAAGACCATCTATCTTTTGTAGTTCTATGAACACGATATCCATCCTCTTCTTTCGTTTCTGTTTTCCTCCACTCGATTGCTAATTCTGGATCAAAATCCTCGATCGCTGATTTCGTTCCTATTGTTCGGATCCGACATCCATCCATGACGACAACCTTAATCGTGCCCATGATAATTTACTATCTATTTCAAAGATCTACTTATTGTGTTGCAGAGATTAACATACTTGATGAGCAATGGATAACAATTCCAATCGATGAGTAACCATGATCACAGTGCGCCCGCTTCTGAGTAATAGTTTTCGAATTCCTTGATCGAAGATCTGTTGTCCAACTTGATGATCTAGTGCAGATAATGGATCATCCTAGAAATATATATATTTTTTTAATTTTGAAGCAAATTTGTTCCTTTGATCTAATTAACTAACCATTATAATAATATCTGCATCGCTGTAAAACGCTCTGGCTATAGTCACTCTCTGTTTTTGGCCTCCACTTAAGTTTATCCCTTTTTCACCAATTCGCGTGAAATCATGGCCAGGAAGTATGTCGACGTCCGGTTGAAGAGCACAAGCCTTCAACACGTTTTTATATTTTTTCATTTTGTACGGCGATCCAAAAAGAATGTTGTCTCTCAAAGTTGCGTTTTGAAGCCAGGGTTTCTGTGCTACATATGCGACTTTGGAGTCTCTGTTTTATAATATTTCATTTTCAATTAATAACGATACAATTGTAGTGTTAAAATATATTTGTAAGTATTTTTTATTTTATATCAATGATTAAAAAGGAATTTAAATATTTTTTTAGGAGGAATTTTTAACTCACTTAGCCCATTCAATGGATCCTGCTGTCTTTTGGATTTCTCCCAACATTCCTAGCAGCAAAGAAGTTTTTCCACTTCCCGTTTTACCAACGATTAAAGTTAACTGACCTGAAAATTAGAGAAGTTAACATTTGTACAAATTTAAATGATTTATTAATCATTGCAATTGAGCTAAAATTACCACATGGAAAGCTAAGATCATCGATGGACAATAAACTTTCCTCTGTACCCCAGGAAAATTTGCAGCCTTTCATTGTAAGTACCGGCATTTCCGGATCTTTTTCAAAAACTGTATCTATAGAAGAATTTATGTTCAATTCGTAATCTTTCAAACCACACGATTGTCTATTCTCCTCATCTTCTTTGATGTTATCCAATGATCCAAATGTAGGAGTATTGAGCGTCTTCATTGTTTCCACCTGAAGAAACCATAAAATTTGATTTAAATGAAATTACATTCTTATTTTAAAGTATTTACAATGGATTCGTCGACGGAATTAGTTTGTGACGGTATACTCTCAGCAATTTCTGACTTTCTATCAACAAAATCGGGCAAGACATTGTCAATTTCTGGAAGTTCAAGAAATTCCTCCATTCTTTTCGTGGAAGTCTGAAAAATCTTTGAATAAGTATTAAGAAAAAATACAATAGAAATTGGAAATTTCTTTTATTATTAGAAATTTTGTTTACCATAGCGTTGATAATGATAGGGATCATCACTGGAAAGATGAGAAGAGGAACAGTCAGCTGTGAGAATAATGCTAAGCTTGCAAAAACCTTTCCTGCATCAAGAGTTTGATCTTCCAGCCAGAAGTAAGCGGCAAAAGTGAAAAGTGTCATCAGAACCGAAGAAGCATGGATGAGAAAGTCTATTAGGAAAGAATAATGTTTATTACATTTTATTACATTATTATATTTTTTTCAATTTTATCTATCTGTTCGAAAAATTAAGTTTACTAATAAGAGTCCAGTAGAAAGAGTCTTTGTCCAACATCTTCAGCTCATCGTCTCTCGTTTTCCTTATTTTTTCTTCAAAAATATTTTCCCAAGCTCTAAGTTTCACTAATTTCATTCCTTGGAAGATTTCATTGATTAAACGTAATCTAATATCACTGTTTTTCTAAAGATAAAAATATTGCAAAGATTTTTCAATTATTATTATTAAAAATTAAAAGAAAAATTGGAAATATCAACCTACAGCAATCAATTTAGAATTTTCCGACATCTTTTTCCCAAGTATCAATTGTAAGGGTGTCACTATTAATATGCAACAAACTGCTCCAATGATTGCACTGATTCCCAATTTTGTGTAAAGAAGAAAAATAATAACAGTAATCTAAAAATAATATGTAGCTGTAGAAAATTATATAAAATAAAAATGTATTGTATTATTTTTCCACCTTTAATGGAATGGCCCATGTATAATGTCCAATCCATAAAAAACTCATCACATTGTAGACATCTTCTGATATCAGATTAGTCAAAGTTCCAATGTCAGCTGATTGCTGGAGTTTATTCTGCTCTTTCTCCTTATCTGGCAAGTTATCTTCTTCGTCGATGCTCCAAGAGCACAAACGCAGAGCTTTATCGTATAACAGCGCCTGCAATTTTAATTTGACTATGGTGATGATTTTCGATGGTTTCTATTTTCGATTTTTGAGAGTACCTGAAGAGCAGTTTTCAAGCGAATTCCTTCAACGCAGAGAATATGAGTGGAAGCTTGGCTCAGAGTCCCTTGTAATAAAGAAAAGAATAATACCAATAAGCCCAAAAAATAGCCATTTTCTAAGATTTCTGGAAATGTCATGACAACCTAAAATATAGTATAAAATTTCTTTTTTTTTTTATTTAATTTTACAAAAAGAAAAATTATCGCGTAGTATTAGATACAAATACCATAGAGTATTGAGAAGTTATTGTCGTATTTTGAGAGGCAGAAACATAGTTCAGGATTTTAGAAATAGATAATGGTCCCACAAGGGTTGCAGCATCTCCCAATAACTTTAACAACCCTCCAATGGCAAAGGGATGCCATATCTTCTTCCAAAAACATTTCCAAAGACATAATTTTTTGTTTCTTTCCTACAAAGAATACCAGAACACTCTAAATCGTTTAAATTCAGTAAAAATTCTTATTTATTCGTTGATGTTATATCGTCATGATTAGTTGAAAGTATACATTTTTAAATTAAAATTTATTAATAAAGTTTATTTTTCATTTTCCAGAATTACCCTATGTTTCTCGTATACTTTTTGAAATTTTCCAAATTGTTTCCTAGTACTCTCTTCCTCCGGAAGTTGACCAAGATCGTGAATGTCTAGATATCTATTGTATCCTTTGGACAGCAAAGCTATCATCCATTGAAAAGTGATTTTGTTGAAAAATGGTGCCTTCGTGTGTTTATACACGGTTTTTCCTCGTATCTCTCGTTCGATCAAGTATCTTCTTCTCCTTCTTGTCTAGACAGGGTGAAAATCGTGATTATTCACCGAGTAAAATGTGGGCTATTTGTATGCTCCAGCCTGCTTGTTTTTACTGGGTCAAGGAGCCAATGTGCACACATGAAATATATTTAGAATAACGATAGAGTGTTCGTATTATCGAAAGATTACTTAATTGGACATACTCTTCACACAGCTATAATTTTCAATCTTATTGAGGAAAGGATTGATATATTATAGCATATAAGATGGAAATTTAATGATGGATAATTGTAATATTAAAAATTGAAGTGATTAGAAGAATTTTATTCTTCTGAGAGTGTAATTTACTTATATTTATTTATTTAATTTTGTCATTTTTTTATTTTATTTATATACTTTGTTTCTTTGTGCAGATATAATATAAAATAATGGATGATTATATTACCATAAATAGAATTGAGATGACTGATAATTTTATAGAAAACAGAGCTAAAGTGACTCGAAGGTAATTTTATACTGCAACAAGTGAAACTTTTCCATTTTGTTGTTTCATCATTTTATTTTTCAGGAGATTAATTTAAGAAGTGTAATTCTTCATTTTGTCATTCTATATTTTATTAGAGAGGGAATTCGTTTCATGAAACGCTGATGACGTTTGTCTTTATGACATTGTAACAGTTATTAATTTTAAACTGATGACTATTCTTGGATGTTATAAAACATGTGCATCAAGCATCAAAATACACTTTCTACGAAGAATTTATTTGGTTTCCTAGAAACTAACCAGAGAATATCGATGGAACGGAGCTATATTTGCGATTTAGTTTGCAGTATCAAGGAAGAAAAGTTCTTTGTTACCATTCGATAAGCTCTTCTGCCTCTCCAGGTCACGATAATAAACATTATTGTTCAAACAAACTGAGTAAATGTAAAACAAATGTTTGCATTCGGCCGGGAGTAACTGGTTCTTCTCGATAAGGTTGCAATGTTATGTTGTTAATTCGCGATACTTACCATAAGAAGTAGTTGATTTAAATTAAGTATCTGATAGTCTAATCAAATTAAATTGAAATTAAAATGTATTTACGTATTAATTACATGTAACATTTCAGGAGATAACTACCTCGAATTAGCTTTAAAATTAAATCATTAATTAACTTACTATAAGATACAACGTGTAAGAATCCAAAATAGCAAAGAGACCGCAGAAAATAGCAGTGATCGCTGTGGTTGTGTATCGAACGTGTAAAATGGATAGACCATATCTGGAAATTTTCAGAAATTTGTTTCATGTTATTAGAAAGTTATTAACAATAATAGAAAAAAAACTTTTCAAGCATGAAATCTACCTATAAAGATACGTGAATTTCCATGCTCGTGATAAACCAATCGCAGCGAAAATTCCAGTAGTGTAAGCAACGCCAAGACCATCCTTAACTTCGGTGTTTCGATGCAGGATCCAGCAGTAAAGGATAGCTACTATCGTAATGATCGAAGAGCAAGAAATCCATGTTAGAAAAGACTCGCATAATTCCAAGAAAAGTACCGCTAACACCGTCATACATAACAACGTTCTAGTTGTGTGAAATGGAAGAAGTTTTCTGCATTCTCTAAGTTAAAAAGGAAGAATATTAAAAACATGGATTCTTTATAAAATATCAGTGGAGGTTTCAATTTCATCACTTTTTACGTGACGATAATAAGAGAGATTATTTTTAATAGACATATAATTCATAGTTATTATCCTCTCGACTAATCTACGATCTTTTATATATATATTTAGATCCAATCGATCGATCTTCGACAAACCTTCAATTACGGAAATTATCCCTTGTTACAACAAAGAAATAAACAAATCCAACATCCTTTATGAAAATGATCTAAATTAACTCAAGTGCCAATATAATATCAACCAACTATTATCAGGTAATTATAAGCTTGGACGAATGGCAGTCCAATTATTTTTACATAATCTTTTAGAAATTGATCGGTTTACTTATAAACACGTCTAATAAATTACTCTCTTAAACTTGTTTTTCAGCTTCCGCCCTTTCGAATTTTCGCTTGTTTTCTTAGAATTTTAAGAAAATATTTTCCGGATTGAACAATTTCTTAAGAAGAACTGGTCAAATTTAAGGGGATTACGAGAAATCTTTATTGACTTTCCAGCGAAGGAGAAAGAAAATAATCGAGCAGCCATCTGATTTAATTTTATTAAGATTCTTCGAACGCGCAACGTGACGCAAATCGGGAAAATGTGTATATGTGTATGATCACCCTTCATGAACACATGTTATAAATTATTCTGGTAATTAATTCAAGCCTTTTAGTTATGCATTATATTTATTCATGCATATTTAATTCATGCATCTTATTACTCTACGCGATTAACAACAATATTTATATTTTCATTTGTGATTATGACTTGAATTTTTATTTTGCTTTCCTATTTTTTTTTCTATTTTTTTTAATATGCTTTTTTGATAGTATTTATGACTGTACATAGAATAGGACTCAAAATTTTAATTCATATTTGATTTTGTTAAGTTATTTAGCTTTAATAATGAGTCAAGATATTCTTCAAATCTTTTGTTTGGAAAGTAAATCATTAATAATGCTTTAAGTATAGTAATAAATGAAAAATATTTCCAGATCTTTGTATGTCTATGATATTTTTTATTTGTAGAACGAGGAAGAAACAAAAGAAACGAGTTTGGTATAGAAAATAGATAAAAGTTTTGTAGATCCAGCCTTGTTTCCAGGAATGGAAAAGTGTTACAGACGTTTGACATAGGTAAATAATCAATAAAATTTCCAAAGAGAATATTACTCATTTTCTGGTTAAATAATTAATTCGTTTTAAATTTTTTTTACAGATCTCTTCTTATTAAAGATTTTTAATTACAATCAATCATCACTTAAGAAATAAATTGTAATATAATTCCACATAAAAAGGGTCACATGAAGGCGAAGAAATTAACAGGCTTGAGAAATTTTTATCACATTAATTGAAACGAATTGTTCGAATGGAACATAGTAGTCCCATATGAATCATGGGACATCCCAAATGTGAAACGTTTCGTTTAATTGAAGGTTGCTTCAATTGGTGTTAGCTGAACTCGAAGTTCTAGCCTCTTAAATACAAATTAAACATTCATCGCACGTTTTCCTCAAATCAACAGTATGCATTGTGACAAGCAAAGCAAATACCATTATTATTACGAATAGCCAAATCTTATCGTTTTAAAACTAATTTTCGAGAATATGGTATCAATATTTCGATATATATACTATTATCAAGTAATATCAGATTGTTAAATAATGTACAAATTTTTCATCAAATTTGTGTCAAATAAAAAGATTACTTTTTCTTGATTCAACGATGTTTTTCGCCTTTTTCTACCTATCCTAATACTTTTATAAATTTTTTTATTTAAAATATTGATATACATAAAATATTTTACGATATTTCTCAACATTTCTAAACATCAAAGAATTGTTCGTGTGTGTTTTTTTTATAAACTGTCGATAAAATATATCTTGTCCATTACTTAAAATATAAATCGAAAAATTTTGGGGATCAGAGCCATCTCGTGTTTGGATTCTCGAAGCTTCGACTCTTTACTAGCAAAGCAGGATATGCAAGGAGGTATTCGTGACGTCACAGATAAGGAGAGCAACATTGTGCGAGAAGGATAGAAAAGATGTGCCACTAACTTTGGTTATGTGGCTCCTAATACTACCCACCATTTTCGAAAACGTAATGTTGAAAATTAATTAATTACTCGTTTTCCACTAAAAATTTCCACACTTTCAAGCTTGCATCTTGAAATTAAAACTTCATATAAGTTTCTCATGTTAATTTTAACACGAAATTTTTAATAAATTAATTATTTTATTTATTTTGCAAAACTAATATATATATATATATTACGATTATATTATATTACATTATATATATATATATGTATGTATGTATATATAATACGACGTAATATATAATGTATATTCAAATATTCAAGAAAACAGATATTATTTTAGAAAGTTACTTTCGAAAACATATCTTATCACGTACACAACTCCTAATTATATTATATCGATCGTGATAAATCTCTCTATTTATCGAAGATCTATCGTAGAAATTGAAATCTCGATTGAATTTTTATTTTTTCTCTTCTGAACTTACTTCTGTTCTTTACTGTATTTATACTTCAGAACGATGAACAACGCAGTAAGAATCGCGATCGTCGAAATCCAGATGTTGACGAGTTCCACGAGGCATTCTTCGATGGTCTCCTTCTCGGTGAACCGGATGCTCGTACCGTTTTCCGTTTTCCAGGACCACACGACACGTCTCGTGGGTAAAATCCGCAGAAATTTGTATCTCGTGCAGAAATCCATTTCCAACAAAATTCTGTGAATCTTTTATCATTTATCTAAAAATATCAATTTCCTTTAACTTTTCGACAATTTTCTACGGATCTTATAATCTTAAAAATCAATTTTCTTTCGACTGTCTACTTTTTTAGTCTTTTTTAGACACTAATAAGAAAATATTTATGATTAATGCAATCAATCAATGTATCTTTGTAAAATTTCTGATAGATGCTCCTTTTGCATTTGATGATGATTGTGCATGTTACATTGAAAGCATGACTAGTTTTTATATATATATATAAACGATAAGTGTGCAATTCATGTTCGCGTATCTTCTTTGATGGCAGATGTATGATTATTAATTTGACATTCTTTTTTAAGAAACAGGTTAATACAACTTTTATGTAACAACTTTTATGTCTGTTGATTTCTCTTTTGGATATTTGCAAATAAATAATTCTATCTTCAATGAAAGATACATTATATTTTGCAATTGACGAGAATAATGTATTCCATTATTTTCATCCGTAACGATAAATTGTTTTGCAGGAAGCACGATCTAATTTTCGGTCAAAAAATACTAGTATTTTGACTGTATTTACGTACACAAAAAAATATCGTATGCACAAATAGTTTTCGAATATGTTTGATAAAAATATGTTCGAATCGAACGTGAAATCGACTTAAATTTATGTTTTCACACGTGCTTTTGTGGCAAATGAAAGAAAGAATTGGCAAAAATTGTGGACTTTGTTTTTATCGTAAAACGATTTAAACAAAAAAAAAAAAATAAAAAAAAAGGATGAATGGATATCATGGAAAAAATTCAAATAATCATTCAAATAAAATTTTTATTTTATTTATTGTCTCTTTTCTTCAGTTTCTTCAGCATTTGTTGATCTAATCTCTTCTAATTTCTCTATTATATACGTTATATTTTTTATTTTTCATTATCACTCGAAATAATCGCACACTTACTTATTTATCTTTTTCTTTTCAGTTTCAAATCAACCCACTTTTTTATTTTATTTGAACTAATTTTTTCTATTCATCATATTCGTTAAACAAATTCGCCGACACAAAGGAGATTTGAACAGAATCCCATCTCAACAAAGAGAGATTAGAAATGAAAAGAAATTAGAATTTCACAGCCGTAATGAAAAAAGAGGATGAATTGAATAGCGTTTAACAGTGGCCTCACGAAAAAGGCTCACCCTTTAACGGTTTAAATTAATACTTCGAGCTTCCGTGGCGCGTTTCGTACAACGACAAATCCGCGCAAAGTGTCCATTAATCTCAAGGCGACATAGATGAAAGCCTCGTAGCCATCGGTATCATTCGCGTGACAAAACAAAAATATAAATATCGATCGTTCCTCTAATTCAATGATCGTGGAACGCACATGTCGTCGGTCTGCTTTTTGCGTAAAGAAGGAAAAAAAAAGAAAAGAAAAAAAATATGCTACGTAAATTAAATAGATTCGCGTTAACATGGTAATATGCTCTTATCGGGTTAGCTCGTTGAATAAACGATTAATTAAAATTCACGGATGCCAGTCAACGATACGCTAACTTTTTAAGTAACAACACTTACGTGCTCCCAGTTGGAATTCCTCGACGCGGCTCGTTACCATAATTTATACGGTGGCTCTATTGCCATCGCGTTTCTGTTATGTCACAGATGATTTATTCGCCGTTTCCTCGTGAGACAGTTTGCTTCTGAACTTGCAACTTCACTTTTTTCGTCTCTCGATTCACGAGTTCGTTTCTTTAAAATTCTCGATGTTGCAGTTTTAACTTGTAGACACTCGTATTATGTCGATGATGCTTTTAATGAAGCGCTGAGGGATTCATTTTGAGGTTGAATTTTTGTCGAATCGACTTTTATATTGAAGTAATTGAAGACTAAGATAAGTAAGTGTTGTTGATAAATTTTCTGATAGAAACTTCTTTATAGTAGCTTTCTTTTTTATGTAGTATGGAAAAATTAATATTAATAAATAACATTATATAACTCAATTATTTATTAATATTTAATTTTTCCATACTACGTAAAAAAGACATATATATATATATATATATATATATATATATATATATATG